CACCGTTATTTTAAACAGCGTTATTCCCACTACTGCTGATAATACCACCAGCAGGAGGCTGTGGGCTGAATTAGAATTTAATGATGGATCTCCTTGTAAGCAGCTAACTAATCTTGCCACCAGGGTATCCCCCAGAAAATGCGTTAAGCCTGATGGACCGCACCATCAGAGCGGAGGGGTGTGCGAGCACGAATCACTCCGCTGCCGCTCCTCCTCAGTATCAGAGGATGAAGGGCCCGCTGACAGTTTTGCTACCGTGAGTTGTCCGTGACAGCGGAGAAAGTAGCCCCACGCCGCCACCCTTGCTCTGACGGTCAGCGAATGGAGAAACACACACGTTCTCATGCATTGAAAAGTTCAAAAGCAGCCCTGTTGATAACAGACGGGTAGAATTAAGGTCCAACCACCTGATGCTAAGCAAAGAAATACGTTAGTTCCAATATCAGCTCAGAAACAGACCCAAGGGAGAGAAAGAAGACACCAGCTCCCGTGCAACACATGATGGCTTGATCAAATCGCCAGCCATTGGGCAGCATCAAAGATTATATAGGAGTCAAGAGAATTCCCTGAAGAGTACAGGTCCTTCTGAAAAAATTGCATATTGTGATAAAGATCATTACTGTCTGTAATGTACTGATAAACATTAGACTTTCATATATATTAGATTCATTACACACAACTGAAGTAGTTCAAGCCTTTTATTGTTTCTAATATTGATGATTGTGGCGTACAGCTCATGAAAACCCAAAATTCCTATCTAAAAAATTAGCATATTTCATCCGACCAATAAAAGAAAAGTGTTTTTACTATAAAAAAAGTCAACCTTCAAATAAATATGTTCAGTTATGCACTCAATACTTGGTCGGGAATCCTTTTGCAGAAATGACTGCTTCAAAGCGGCGTGGCATGGAGGCAATCAGCCTGTGGCACTGCTGAGGTGTTCTGGAGGCCCAGGATGCTTCGATAGCAGCCTTAAAGGCAGGGTACGTAAGTTTAAAATGTGAAATAACTTTAAAAATGTTTAATTATGACCATCTGACCCAGTTTTATTTAAAAAAAGTAAATAATCTTTAATATTTCAATTTTCTCCTAAGTCCCTCCCCTGCCCTGTAGAGCTCAGCCAAAATTTCTGCAAGCCTAACGCGTTGACCAATAGAGCTGCATTACCACCAGAGGTAGCTGTCAATTATCGAGAACGAGCATTAGATCTCAGCGTGCACAACAGTGTCACGCGCCTCACTCAGCTTTTAGAGGACAGCTCTGGAGCGACAAAACCCCAAATTACTGAGTCCTCGACTGCCTTCCACATCTCAAAAAACATTTAAAAAGTTTAAAAGCCCTTCTTCAAAAGCGGCTGTAAGACGTTTAAGACAGTCGAGTCGAATTTACATTGGAGATTGTTTTACACCATGGAGAGATTTTTGTGATCTACGCGGCATGAAAACGGATGAAGAGTTGGCAAAGAATCTTTTGGACAGGTAAGATATTTATTGTTTTTCGGATAAATTTACTTAAAATCTTTCTTTCACTGAAATAAGTAATAGAGCAAACAAGCTTTGTATGCTTACTGTCCTATTGGCTAATGTAACATTAGCTTGAATGCTAATTACTGTCTGGTTTTGTGGTTTTACCTACGTGAAAATTCCATATTAAAATAAAAGGAATGATAATCAGCTCGTGCAGGAATCTGTGAAGGCTGGGGAGAAACATTAGCTGTTGGAAAAAGACGTATCTGACCAAAAACACATTCTAAACACGGTCACACTGGCTGTCAGTTAGCCTGATATCACACTATTTAGCCTGTTGCAGTCATAGCAATAATCAAGTGCCAAATTCAAGTATTTTATTAGGTTTCCCCGTTTTGAAAAAGCAAATAATATTAAAATGAGTGATTAGCAGCTCATGATGAACTCAGTTGGCTGACGAGATACTTTATCAATTACAATTAGATTTGTTTTAGCAGGAAAACGTAAAAATAGAATGTGATTTGCATGCTCTTCATGCTACAGTCAATTATTTAGTAGTTTCTCTGAACCTTCATTTCATTATATCTTACAATAACATAGATGTGTAAACTAAGGGATGGCTATATAACATAATATTGTGTGTTTCTTTTACTTGTTTAGCCTGTGATCACTACTTTTTATTTTAACATGGGCTTGGTTTTTACAGTCATCAGTCCAAATATGAAGCATCAGCATCAACGCCATTGAAACGCCAACTGTTTATTTCTCCAACACCAGTGCCAGCTCTGTCTAGCATTCATGGAGAATCATCTGAAATGAAATTGCACCACGTCTTGAGGATGCAATGGGAGGTTCAAACTTCCTCAGAGGATTCCTCAATCACTGAATTCTAAATTGTACTAGAATAAAAAAACAATGATACTAATATAAAAAGTACTCTTGCATATTAATAAATTTTGACACAGATCAGGTTTACATCTAGTCCAAATTTGGGCTAAACCAACAATAAACAGAAACTATAAAAACAACCATGATTATAGGAGGACTACACAGAATGCAGTGTTTATTCATGATTTCCACATAAATTCTTTATATGCTTTGATATATTCATCCCATCTTGAATGGCAAAGCAATTAAAAATAAGCTAATTGTCAACTGTTACTGGTATTTTAAATATATATATATATATATATAGATATATAGATATTCCTTATAAAATGCCTTTTGTAAACAGTAAGTGTTTAATGTGCTGGTTAAAAACAACTGTCTTACCTCAGATAACTCCATTTTTAACACTTACATCAGCTCTATTACGAAGAACCAATGCTCTGGTGTTGACTCGGCTTTTCCTGCGCGTGCATATTAGGAGGTGTGGCTTTCGGCTCTTTCAGGAAGGGCGGGGGAGTGAGCAACAGCCGTTCGAATTTAAAAATCTCCTCCTCCTCACCCTGCCGGTGTCATCTTACGGACCCTGCCTTTAAGCTCATCCAGAGTGTTGGGTCTGGCGTCTCTCAACTTTCTCTTCACAATATCCTACAGGTTCTCTACGGGGTTCAGGTCAGGAGAGTTGGCAGGCCAGTTGAGCACAGTAACACCATGGTCAGTAAACCATTTACCAGTGGTTTAGGCACTGTGAGCAGGTGCCAGGTCATGCTGAAAAATGAAATCTTCATCTCCATAAAGCTTTTCAGCAGATGGAAGCATGACGTGCTCCAGAATCTCCTGATAGCTAGCTGCATGGACCCTGCCCTTGATAAAACACAGTGGACCAACACCAGCAGCTGGCATGGCACCCCAGACCATCACTGACTGTGGGTACTTGACACTGGACTTCAGGCATGTTGGCATTTCCCTCTGCCCAGTCTTCCTCCAGACTCTGGCACCTTGATTTCCGAATGACATCCAAAATTTGCTTTCATCTGAAAAAAAGTACTTTGGACCACTGAGCAACAGTCCAGTGCTGCTTCTCTGTAGCCCAGGTCAGGCGCTTCTGCCGCCGTTTCTGGTTCAAAAGTGGCTTGACCTGGGGAATGTGGCACCTGTAGCCCATTTCCTGCACACGCCTGTACACGGTGGCTCTGGATGTTTCTACTCCAGACTCAGTCCACTGCTTCCGCAGGTCCCCCAAGGTCTGGAATCGGTCCTTCTCAACAATCTTCCTCAGGCACAGGTCACCTCTTCTGGTTGTGCAGCGTTTTCTGTCACACTTTTTCCTTCCCACAGACTTCCCACTGAGGTGCCTTGATGCAGCACTCTGGTAACAGCCTATTCGTTCAGAAATGTCTTTCTGTGTCTTACCCTCATGCTTGAGGGTGTCAATGATGGCCTTCTGGACAGCAGTCAGTTCGGCAGTCTTACCCATGATTGTGGTTTTGAGTACTGAACCAGGCTGGGAGTTTTTAAAAGCCTCAGGAATCTTTTGCAGGTGTTTAGAGTTAATTGGTTGATTCAGACGATTAGGTTAATAGCTCGTTTAGAGAACCTTTTCATGATATGCTAATTTGAAATAGGAATTTTGGGTTTTCATGAGCTGTATGCAAAAATCATCAATATTTGAAACAATAAAAGGCCAGTTGTGTGTAATGAACTTTATCACAATATGCAAATTTTTTGAGAAGGACCTGTAGTTTTTGCACAAATAAATTGCCATGACAGCTCAAAATGCTACAAAAAACAACAACAACAAAAGCACTTCCCCTGCTGAGCCGGTCGATTTGATGTAAGATATGTAGGGATACACATTTTCGTTCGAGCCGTACCAAAAATAGTAGCTTTAATGCAAATATGTTGCCATGGCAACTCAAATCGCCACAAAGGTAAAAGCACCGACCGAGGCGGTCAATTTGATGTATGGTTTGTTGGGGTAAACATTTTTGTTCAAATTGCATTAACGTATACAGAAGAACAATAATAACTAGAACATTTTTGAAGACATTTTGAAAGGGGCCTAACATCTGGTGCAAAATGGAGGCCGTGTGTCTAAAGACTTTTAATGTTCGTAGTGTCGTCCCTAATTAGTAAACAAAGGTGGCTGTGAGCAGCATTGCTTTTGGAGACTCTGACTAACATTGCTTCCTGGTGTCTCTCACTGAGACTGCAGGTTGTGCTCCTCACAGTGACAGCGTTGTGTGTGTGGTTAACAGCAGTCAGTCGTTGTGCTGGAGAGGCAGCTCCCAGCTTTAGTCAGACGAGGCATTAACTCTCAAATGTCCAGACTGATGAATCGTGCATGCAGGAAGCCCCCGCTTGTTGATTCTACCCACCACTCGGGGGCTCTCCCTAATGGTAGGAGTGAATTTCAGCTGGCCAATCAATAGGCAGTGGGTGTGTTGGGTCAGTTCGGCCCAAAGCAGACTGCCAGGACTGGAGGTCTGTAAAAATAGTCACTTGAGCACAGAAAACCCACAGGCTACCCAGATGTGAACACAATATGCCAAACCAGGGGTGGGCCGTGCAGACCCAGATGAGTGACGTGAAGTTTGCATGGACTAATAAACAGGTCTAACCAGAAACAAGAATTAGTTTACTCATCACTTAATTCAGTTGATTTATTTAGCATTAGTTCACAACTTGAGTTCTGTCAAAGCAATAAAAATAAATACATTAACAATCAGGTCCAGATGAAGCCTCCAGTGATGTCACAACAGTATTTTTAGTCTGCAACTTGAGAAGCTACAGTACCTTCTACAACTCCACTCATGTGCCAGATGGGCTGTCATGGGAGTTTACTGTGACATGGGGGCTTATTTATTTCACACCTTTAGACCACTAAACAAGTTCTTGGTGCACATCAGCAAAGTGTCAGTCCATTCCAAAACTGGATGTGCACATGTTGGTCAAGAAGGTCTCTGGGCAGTACAGCAATGAACACACTGCAGGAGAGGGTTAGAGTCCTTCATTTGTTCCTGCAAAGACATGGTTGAATATACCAGTTGATGAGTTTTATTACACAATGCTTTTTTTCCATGACACTATAAATAAAACCACCTGACCTGGCTTTCTGGTCCTTTTTCACGTGTCTTTGTAGATGCTGCTTCGTGTCCCACCTGAACCTGGATCTGTCAGATAAAACATTTGGGTTTAAGTCTCACCGGGTCAAGCAGTAGGGAAAATCACAGACCGTCATATTTAGTACCTCTGTATATGGAGCTGAAAGTTCAGTTTCACTCAGGAGCCACCGTTCTTCTAGAAGAGAAAAATAAAACAGTTATTGCTGACAGGGCACAACGAAGTCTAAACTAAGATTAGCACAAATCATTGATTAGTTAAAGTTGCTTTAAAATATTCCAGTGTTTCCCCTGCACCACGGCTGTGAAATCCAACCCCGCCCACCAAGCCACCCCGCTCTCACAGCCAACACACGGCACTGAAACGTTCCATGCGCCATTACCCCCTTCCTCGCTCTCGTGGCAGCGAAACGGTCAGCGAATGATTCCACTTTGTTCCTTAAATTAAGCAACGTAGTTTAGTAAGTTCTGTACACTCACATGTTCAACAGCATCTTTGCCAGCTGATTGGTTCTTTGGTAAAAAGTGACATCAGTGCAGTTCTGGTACTGAGCAGCATGGATGCATCAAAGGATTTTGCTGTAGTCGGTGTTCAAAATGGATCTAAGACAGGACAGGATATATAATCAATCACATATAATATTATAATGCAGTGAACATGTAGAGATACTTTATATCTCTACACTCCTACTTTATATATATATACCTTTTTTCTCAAATTGCACCAGACTGATGCTTTTAAATATAAGGGCATGTCACCGGACCCCCTGGAGTACTTTAATACTCATCTTTTTCATGTCTGCTCTTTGGTGCTGGTGCACACCTTGTAGTATATATATATATATATATATATATATATATATATATGTACACACACACACACACGCACGGCACCGAAATGGTTACACCCCCTCTGCAGGCGCACCAAGGCAGGAATATTTTCTAGGGGAAACACTGTATTCTGTACCTGTACAGAATATATATAATATAATATTCTGTAAGTGCTGTCTCACTGGTCTAGCTTCGTAACACCATTGAGAAATAGTTTTGAGTAGTTAAATTGCACCAACTAGGTTTAATTTAAACAAAGATTAGTCGTTGGAGCACATTTGCTCATGGACTAGCATAGATTAATGTTACCAACTAAATCGTGCCACGGACAAAATCCACATAATAATGGACAATAAGTCCTGTGAATTTGGAAACATTTGCTCTTGATTTGCCTAAGTTATTAGGGGAAACAGAATATTTCAGGGGAATATCATATCTCACAACTAGCTAATAAAACCATTGATCAAACCCTGAAGCACACCCACAAATTTAGACAAGGCTGAAGTTAGCTTCCAATTCGGGAAATGGTTAAAGGGCAATTTTTCTCTGTTCTGGCCATCTTTAATCTGCTCTACCTTCAGGTTTGAAACGTCCATTTATTGTTTTTTAAGATAGAGCAGAATAAAGATGGCCAGAGTAGAGAAAAATTGTACTTTATTCATTTCCCGAAACGGACGCTCGAGTCAGAAGCTTATTCCAACCTTGTCAAGTTTAGCTCAACCGCAAAGCTAAAGCCTGGGGCACACTGGAGGCGGGCCACGCCGCGCAACTTTAGTCGCAACATCACACGGGACTTGAGAACATGAAACGGGAAGTGACTCAATTGTTTATACAAGATCAGACTTGGCGCCGTGTTTTGTGAAACTCGAATTCATTCAAAATGGGTAAGTACGCTATTTATTTGAATATTTAAAGATCAATAGTAATTTAACTCATTCACTGCCAGCCGATTCCTGATCGGTAAATCCCTTCGATGCCAGCGTTTCTCACCGTTTTTACTGTTTGAGTCACAGAACATTGCGCGCTAGAATGATGTTGATGCCAAAACAACCAAAACAAAGCGGAGACTCAACTCTTATATCAGGAAGAATCCGTGCGTTTCAAGCTTTTGCTGTTCTTCCATAATCCGTTGTTGAATTGCGATCAGCAGCTTTTCCGGTTCGCGCCAGACTTTTTTTACAGCAGCGGCCCAAAACGATCTCCTAACACATGGATTTTCTGCTTCCTGATCACGTGACGTGTGACGTATGCGGATGAAGATCGGCTTTAGAGCTGAGATGTTTGTCTCACGGTGCGGGGGCTCATTCTAATGCCCACACAGTAAAAAATGCTAACGGTTGGATTTAAAATGACAACTTTAGTCATAAATGGCAGTGAATGAGTTAAAGTTATCAAAACTGCGGCTGGGTTTGTGCCGGCGGTCGGGTTTAAGCCATAAAGCCGTTCCGCGTTGTAATGTCTGTTGTAAAGTACTCTACAATGTTGTAGACAGCCGCGCCGCGGCGCTTGAGATAGAACTGGTGACTATCTTAATCGCCTTAAGCTTGGTTTATGCTTGACGCATTCACTTTCCACTTGGTGATGCGGCTTGCGAATGGAACGCGGTTCACAACTCGCAGCGTTTATGGTTAATGCGGCTCGTCTCTGCGGTGAGCCAATATTCTCCCAAACTGTAGGGGGCAGCATGGAGCTCTACAGCATGCGTCCAACACTACACCATAGTAGAAGTAGAAATTACTGTTTACAACATGGCATTCCAGCATTTTTTAACAGCGTCCTCGTCTTTTCCGACAGTGCGAGCTATTCCTCTCCAAGAATTATTAACAACATGTTGATCACGGTGATCTCTGAGAGCTGAATCATACAAATGTCTGTATTTACGAACCTCTGCCATACTAGTTCTTGCTAGTCCGCCATGTTTTTCTGCGTCCGACCGTCCGCGTGGTTAGAAAATTTCCTAGGTGCGCGTTGCAGAAATTTTGGGCCGTGCGGAGACGCGGTGGAGGGGCGTGGTTGTTAAAATGACGCAAAATGACACAACTTTTCCGCGCGGAGCAGTGCGGACCTCGCAGACGCGTCAAGCTTAAACCAACCTTTAGCGTGGCGCTTTTGGGACGCAGCATGGCGCTCAACGTGTGCCTACTCTCATTAACTATAATGGCTTCTATTTAAAATGAAGGCCCAACGCTGCGCAGCGCGTCCACCTCCGGTGTGCCCCAGGCTTAACTTTGCTTCTGTGTTTTCGGTGCTAACCGAAAACAATGGCTATTGAATATTCAAACTGTATGTGAATCCAATAGAACAACAGCGTTAAACTTACCTTGATCTATCCGCTTCTGTGTGCGTGCAGGCCAGAAGTGTTCTGAGTTGCGGAGTTAATGTAGTCACGTGGTTAACGGTAGTTTAACTGCGGCGTTTCACACCACGGTTATTAGTCAAACATTCCCTGCGCTGGGTTTGCCAGTGTTAATGGTGGTGGTACAGAAATCAAGCTGGAAGCTAAACATGCCCAAATGAGATGACATCGTTAAACTGTTGCACTCTGGGAAAATTTGCATTCTGGGAAATGTGGTACGTGTGATTTTGACAGGGTTTTTTGCCAATGGCGTATCCATGGGGACTGAAAATGCGAAGATGCGTAAAAGCACCCTCCCACCGACAGATCAGGTAAATTTGCTGTAAGATTTGTGGGGGTGCACACTTTCATTAAAGCTGCATTAGCGTATACGGAATAACAACAACAACAACCATAATAATAATAATATTAAAAATAAAAATACCATTTGGTCAGTGCATAACAATAAGGCAAGCCGTTATCAACGGGTTCCAGGCCAACCAGCACAAGTCAAATCAAATCAAATCAAATCAACTTTATTTATATAGCACTTTTCATACTAAAAAAATGCAACTCTAAGTGCTTCACAGATTTAAATGGCCCCATAGATCCCATATTCCCATCCCAGCCCCCCTCCCCAAGTATAAAACAATTGACAACTAGAAAAATTGCATTTGTTGCACAAATGCTGTTTGAATGCTGGACAGCCGAAACCGTAAGCTGAAGCCGCCGAACAGCTGAGCTGAAGCCGAAACAAAGCAGAACTGTCAAAATGAGCTGAATGTATTTAAAGATGTAGAAGCAAAAATCACCAACAAGCGTAATGTAGCTCAGAATCTAGGCGAAGAATGGAGAAAAATGCTAAACAGCAGACATTTTTAATCTTTGAACATTTATTAAAAACTGGAAATTTGAAACGTTAAACAGCTGGCATTTGAATGAGAATAGTTTAACGGGTACATTTTTATAATTGGCTGGACTGTGGATTTAGAAATATTTGCTGATATCTGAAACTGATAGATGAACATATGTTCAGATTTGATATGGGATGGATGAAGAGTAGGACGAATGAAAGAACGGATGGATTTTTGGATGGATGTTAGATGATTTATTGGATGGATGGATGGATGGATAGATAGAAGCATGTATGAATTTATATGTAGATGGATGGATTCCTTAGGCCAAGCCGATCAATTTGATGTCTCACATGCGTGGGTGTGTAGTTCCATCTAGCCAGAAGATGATTGACCTCTCTCAACCAATCAGGGAGCTGGGAGGGAGCGGGGCACTTTCCCACCTTCTGACAGTCAATCAAATTGAACTTATTCCTAGTTTTAAGTTCAAACAGTTCAAAAACAGGAGTCTGTTAATGGCTCAATATTCTGCTTTTTATATTCATTCCTATGAGGCTTGGTTAAAGCGATTTGTAGTTCCTTATGTTGCCATGGTAACAGATGACAGAAGTCTGCATTAATAAAGCTATGTACAATAACACATGAGTCATTTAAACTTTGAATAACATTTCTATATTAAAGTATGTTGATACAGTTGTGTCTAAATTTTGTTGCTAAGCACGTTGCCATGGTAACGCAGAGCACAATATCAAGTTAATACAAGACTCCTGGGACCAAGCAGGTTGAATTGATGTACCATACATGTAGGTGCACATTTCCTTTTAGGCAGAAGATGATTGAAAACTCTCAGCCAATGAGAGAGCAAGGAAGGAGGAGGGGGTGGTTCCTGCCTTCTGACTAGTGTTAAAATGTCAGCTATGCTGCTAGTTTTAAGTGTACAGAGTTTTAAGTGTATAGAGCTGGTTGGTTGGTTGGTTGGTGTGTTGGTTGGTTGGTTGGTTGGTTGGTTGGTTGGTTGGATGGATGGATGGTTGTTTGGTGTGTTGGTTGGCTGTATGGATGGATGGATTCCTTAGGCCTAGCCGATCGATTTGATGTCTCACATGTGTGGGTGTGTAATTCCATTTAGCCAGAAGATGATTGACATCTCTCAACCAATCAGGGGGCTGGGTGGGAGCAGGGCACTTTCCCACCTTCTGACGGTCAATCAAATTGAACGTGTTTCTACACACAGAACAAACCACACAATAACACAGTATGTGCAAGCGCTTCACCTTAAATTCTCTTTAATTCTCTTGTATGTTATTTTGTGTGTGTGGGTGGGTGGTGGTGGTGGTGGTGGTGGGGGGGGGGGGTCATTTTGCCTTGGCCCCCAAAATGTCTTGAAACGGCCCTGGGTGTGTGACTGAGTTTTGAAGGTGATCTGAATTGTATCAAATGTATAAATATTACATGTGTGTAGTGGAGATAAATCTACCTACATTTTACTTTTCAACACTTTGTTTTGTTTTCTTGTTTTTATTGAACTATTTTCCTGTCCTGTGTCTGTCATCTTCCTGCATCATTTATGACCACATTTGACA